CAGCATGGCTGGCTGGGGAATTCTAGGAGTGGAAGTCCACCTGTCTTAAAGTGGCCAAGGTTGAGAAACACTGATTTAACAGCTGTTGTTTAAACTACTGCTATCCACAAAGGCAACCCAGGAGACAAGCTGGTGCAAGATGCCACCGCCCGCAGGATGGCGCCGAGCAGTGGGTTGGACTGGATGACCTCTGAGGAACCCATCACCTCAATGATATCGTGGCCATTTGGCCTCTGGGTCCAATTCAAGAAACCCACCCTGTCTGAGCAAGCTAGGAGGGCAGATTAAAAAACCCCACAGCACAAGGGGAATTCACAAACAGGTCTTCTCGGCAGTAGATCCTATTCTGTAACTGATTACTGTTGATTGCTTCGCTCAGGCTTTTCTTAGGCGCGATCTGCCCCTTGATTGGGCCCAATATCAGTCAATACACAAGGCCGTCCAACTGCAATGTGCCTGAATTTGTCTGGCGTGTTTCGCACATTGTTGCACACAAGTATGAGCTTTTGCAGCATGCCACGGCGAAAAATCCATGTGAGCGATGTAAGCAACCAGGATCGCAATGGCTAGATTGCAGACACCAGTCATCTAAGGCGCCCGGTTGTGACCCATCAGGAGCTCTGAGGAAGCCCAGCGGAAAACCTACGGTTAATCCCTGCAACCGGCATTCGGTGGTATACTGCACCCCAAAATGGAAGCTCTATTTAGGCCACAAGGCTAATCCTTTGGGACGGATCACTCAAAAACGTCCTTCCCGCTGTGTAGGGCAGCCTCCAGGCGCCCGTGGGCCAGTTAAACAGCTGCATTGGCAGAACATCTTGAAGTGAGTTAGTTAAACTTGGTTAGTGTTTGTTACAGGGCTTGGCAAAGCCAGATGTGGGTTAGCTGGTGATGCAATGCAGGGAGTGGTTTGGGAACTGGGTTAGGGGTGCCGTATAACCCGGCCATGTACACTTTTCTCCTTCTTTCAATGCAGGCAGAAAGATTTTCGCCTGCCCTCATCCACTGATGATGCTCTAGAAATGCCAGGAGCCCACCTCGCAGGGATGTTTGTCTTACAAAGGGCCCCCTTCTTGCCCCTGCTCCCAGGGGCTTCTGGGCATCTCCAGGAAAAGGCCAGCTCTGGACAGGCCTCTCTCATGACAGGCTCTGGAGTGAAAACAAGGTATGATCCACAGCCTTACATCCGTATGTCTCCTTGTTCCTTTCTTGGGCTGCTTTCGGGCTAAATTCCTTTTTTCCCTGCAAGAAATGGAAAGGGAACTGGGGTTACAACACAGCGCCTCTGCCCGCCTCACTGCTCCACCCCAACGGAAAAAACGGGGGGAAAATGTGGCTTTTCCCAATATTGGCCCTGGGAAACAATCTTTCCCTTCATTTCGAAAGCTAGCTGGTCAGGAAATGAGATCAGCCGACTTCTTCCCTGAGGGACTAGCTTTCTAAGTGAGTGGTGTTTTGCTGAATGGGGCGCCTCCGGGCTGGCCTTCCCTACACTCACCCTTTCCCATCAATCAGCTGTTCGTCTTCCTCTTCCACATCGGAGGCAGGGCTAGTGCGTGGCGGGCAGGACCGGGTGGAGACGTTCCGCGCCAGGATAGACCCTGAAGACAGAGTTACAGGGCAGTTAATCCCAGAATTGGGACCCGGGGTCCCATTCACACATTCCTCCTCCTTCGGGGTATGGGAGAGATTCCCTACCCTGCCAAATTTCCTTTTGCTCTCTTAGTTCATTAAAAGGCATCCGATTCCACGAACTGCAGCCCGCTTCATCCGATGCATGGCTAGCGTTCTGCGTCATGTAAATCCGACGTGCAAATCCCATATTGTGCATCAATGGGAGGCCACAGACTAAGACCCTGTATCCAGTTTCCAACAGAGGACAGCAAGATATCTCTGGGAAATTTCCAAACTGGGCCAGAAGGGAGTGGATCTTGCTCGTCCCTTTCCCACGAATTAACATTTCTCTGCATCGTCAGTTAAAGTTGCCAGCTAGCCTTTCTCTATAGGTTTTCTTTCAAGGGGAAGGGAAGCCAACAAATTGTCCGGTTCAGAAAAGCAAGCCGTGTCTTCTATGTCTGGATTAACTGGCCCCTAGGTAAGCTCTTATGCGCTTGTTTTCCAGGGAACTGAGCTTCCACACACAGAGGCAGTATACCTCTGAACAGCAGCTGCTTTGCGGGTCAACCAACCAATTGCCTGAACATTTCCCATGAGTTTCCTAGAGTTATCCAGCTGGGCCAGATGTCCAGACTACATGGACTCATTTGCAGAGACGGCTGGATTTTAATAAGGGTCTGCAACAAGCCCTTGGGCCAAATCCGGCCAGTTAAAGAGCGCCGCACAGGAGAACGGCTTGGAAGCCACCCCAGCTAGGCCTCCCTCTCGCCCAGCAAGGCCTCAGTCATCACCTGGAGGCGGCAGGTCGAAGCGGATGTGCCTGTCAAAGTGCATTGCCCCGTGGAACTGCCTGTCGCACGCCTCGCACAAGTGCAGGGGGCTGTGGCGATTCAGCTGCTCACATCTGGCGTGGTGACACACCTGGAGGGGCAAAAGGGAGAAGAAGGGGAGATGGCGGGGTCAAGATGAGCCGTTCGGGGCCGGAAGAGGCGAAGGTGAGAAAGTGCAGCTTCTCACATGGGGAGAAAAGGGATACCCCCCAACACCCTGCTTTGGGGGGAAAGTGGGGACCTTCAGGGTGGCAGCCATGTTTAAAAGAACCTGCAGCAAAAAGGCCTGTTTGTGAATTTCACCCCTACGGGGAAGACTTATGTTTAGACTACTGTCCGAGTCAAGGAAAAGTTAATCGTAGGAATTCAGTCAATGCATCCTTTTGGTCTATAGCAATAAAGAAAGCAAGTCTTCTGGAGGGCATTCAAGTGAAGGAAGAGGCATTCTCTTGCAGACATGAGAAGGGAGAGGCATTCTCTTGCAGACACGTAAAGAATGAGAAATTATCTTGCAGACTTATGAAGGACGTGAAATTATCTTGCACGCTAGCGAAGCAAGAGGCATTCCCTTGCAGACAAATTAAGAAGCATCTCTTGTATACAAGTGAAGGAAGAGGCATTCTCTTGCGTACAAGGAAGAGCCATCCTCTGGTATACAAACAAAAGGAGAAAAGAATCTCTCAGACACGAAAGAATCGCAGGAGTGCCATGAATTGAATTAGCTTCCGACGGCACAGACCTGGAAGGCGCCAGGTTGGAGAATTCCTCAGAGGCTAAAATGGCTTGTTTAATCTGGAATCTTTGTGCACGTGGGAAGCCATTTTAGCATAGGGACCACCACGTTTAAAAACAAACCTGGATTCTATCCTTTGGTGCACAGTCACAACTTCCCTTTATATGCTCCCGTCTCATTTCCTTCTGCAAATTTCTTGAGGACTGACTTTGTTCACAAAGCGCCTTTTCCTCCCCATTCTGATTTCATAAAGAGGGGGGGGGGGGGGGGCATCCATCCATTTACCCCGCAGCCCTCATGAGGTCAGCTCCAAGCTCCCAGATTCTTTCACTATTCAAAAAGCATCACACGAGCTGGGAGGAATCTCAGAGGCCATCTAGTCCATCCCCGTGCTCAGTGCAGAATCTGTTCCAGCATGTTCCCAATTTGCAAGGGCCGCAGTGTGGGTCCTCTGCCACCTCACCTAGCTCTCTCTGATCAACACACCACACTCAGGGATGGGGGAGATCAGTATCCCCAGCAAGATGGAGATATTTTTAACTGCACCCCTGAAGCCTTTAACTGCAGGTAGTCCTCACTAACGACCACAATAGGGACCGGAAAATTTGTTGTTAAGCAGGATGGCTGTTAAGCAAGTCGCACCCGATTTTATGACCTTTTTGCAGCAGTCATTAAGTGAATCATGCAGCCTTTAAGCGAATCATGCAGTTCCCCACTGATTTTGCTTGCTGGAAGTTGGCTGGGAAGATCACAAATGGTGATCACGTGACCCCAGGACACTGCAACTGTCCTAAGTGTGAGCTGGTTGCCAAGTGCCCGGATCACAATCACGTGACCGTGGAGATGCCGAGACAGTTTTAAGTGCAAGGACCGGCTGTAAGTCCCTGTGTTCAGCACCGTTGTAACTTCGAATGGTCACTAACCAAATGGCTGTTAAGTGAGGACTACTTGTATATACAATGATGCCCACTGAGTACAACAAAGGAAATTATCTCGCATTTTCCCACAGAAACAGCCACCGTTGCCCTTTGACTGCTGGGAATGATGGGAGTTGCAGTCTGAGGGACTGTAGGATGGCTAATTGGGGCAAGGCATGGATACTCTACAACCCTGGATAGACATCAGCTATTTCTACCACCCTTTCTAACCCTTGAAAAAAAAAAAAGGCAGAATGGAAATATAACTATAGACCAGCTGGCAGATTCTGATCCAGTGCTGTTCTCTTTGTTAGAACAGGGGGGAAAGAAAGTTTAAACTTCATACAGTAGGTTCATTTCATGGTCTGAAATGTTGAGTTAGGATTTCTGGTGCTTGTGGAAGAATTTGGGAAACTCATACTGTCGTCAGCAAATACTAAAATGCACGGCATTACGTACAGTTATTATAGATCATTGTGGTTGGTTAATTTTCTAAACCCATTACCTAATGCTTGTCAAAACACTGAATACAGTAGTCTGTAGACAACTTCCAGGAAAATACAAAACATTCAAAACAAACGTCAAAACATTCACACCTCTAACATTTGGCTGGCTGGGGAAATTCAGAGAATTTTTCCAAGCAAATTTGATTCTGCACGTATCCTGTTGCTAAAAAACACTGCCAACCCACAACCTCAACGCCAGAACCGAAATGCATTTTTGCCCAGCAGCGAGATGAGTTAGGTTTTTCTATTCCAAAATTCAGTTTTTCCAGGCGGATCCAGATCAGCTATCCTCCGCACTTAAGAGTGTCATAATGGAAACAGAGAAAAATAATACTAAGCACTTGCCGAATTTTACCCAAATCTGAACTCTTGGCACGGCGGTCAAACATTGCATCGGCTTCCCAGAGTCAGAATCCCATCTTCGGATTCCTTATACGGGCTGGTTTCATTTGGAAGCACCTCCTGAACCTGGTCTGGGCCGAATTCCCACCCCTCATTTAGCAGAAGGGGGGTGCTCTCTCCAGTTGCAGATAAAATTCATTTTCCATCCCCGAAATGCAGTTTAAGTGTGGCTACCAGCAGGAGGGCCCTACCCTGCTGAGCAAAAAAGCTGCCGGGGCGCGGGGAAATACCCCTTGCCCACAACCCTCCCCAGACACCCTCTCCCTTTGGGGTCGCCCCCAGGAGGCCCGAGAGACATC